TACTTATCAAAGTGTACATGAGTGTTATTATCTGACTTACTTACACGTGAAAATTATATTTGAAATAATCTCAGCGATTAAAATTTAAATAATTCCAACGTTTCGTCAAGCAAACCTATCTGAACTTCTTCAGGGTAATAATCAAATTCAAGCTCATGATGATCTTGACAAGATTGCTGGAAGAAACATTGAAATTATTTAAATCTCAATCGCTGAGATTATTTCAAATATAATTTTAACATATTATGACTTCTTTATACTCGACGCTCAGTTTTTGTCAAACTATTCATTCTAATATTGACAAATATTCGTATGACTTATTTACAATACTAGTTAGGATTTAAATGATTATTTCTCAAACAAAGGGTTAGATATTTTGTTTACATGTACATATAATTGGACTTTCGATAATAATCAACAGTAAGCTCAAGGTTGTTTATAAAACTCTGGAATTGAAGTCAACGTTTAGTGTTTTAGTTTCAGTAGAAGCACCAAAACTTAGATGGTGCTATATTTAGTTGACATGTATAGAGTAAGATAAATAGTGTTCTATGAACTTTTCTACTAGCCACTATTAAAAATAACAGCAAGCTTAAAAACAAATAGATGTATACATTAAAGTTATTGTTAATTTGAATGTTCGAAAGCATTGAGAAAGATTTTTATCGATCTATTTATTTCTAACTTCGTGAATAAAAAGAATTTTTATGCGTATTTTAGAATTTTTAAGTAATCTACATTACAGACCCGACAGATTTTAAGATTAGGATTGAGTTTCCTGTCAAGTATTCTATGGGTTTTTATATAAATTCAGATGTGATGAAAGCTACCTCCATACAGAACTGTTATGTTTACAGTTTATGTCACGAACTAATCTTAGCTAAACCACCAGTGAAAACTTAAAGGCACCAGTATCCAATGTTTCCAGGTTTGCAGTGATGGTCTAACTAAAATTAAATGGTGATTTACACTGTGAAAATTCTACAGTGTTCACAAAACCAGTTAGTGAATTTGAGTAATCGAATCTGAAGTTTAATCAGTAAATTAACCAAATTATTTGCGTGAATACTTTAAGAAAACAATTTAGTCTAATGAATTTGTCCTTTGCATTTTCATCTTTTCACTAAAGTGTTTGTGGAAATCGATTGACAAGTAACTTAGTAATATTGTGAGAATTATTTTATCAACATCCTCTGAATAATTGCAGAATAAGAATATTGTAATACACAAGTGCTGTTATCATGTCTTAAGAAGAAATGAAGTTACTAAGTGAATATAGACGAATTTATATCCAATTGAAAGTTTTACATTAAACAGACATCGTACTGAAATACTATGATTGTTTAGTTACAGGTAAAACGTTTACATTTTTCGAGACAAACGTACTAACACTGTTTAATAACCTTTGTAAAATAATTCATGTTTACAAACAATCAGTTAACATATTTTTATTGAAATGACCCAAATTAGAAGTGTCACTTCATAAATAATGAAGTAGTATGTTTTACTCGAAAGCACTTTTTCCTGCCCATAAAGATGCTTGCTTCCTTGCTTTATAAAATAGGAACAATAACCATCGGCTCATTAAGTAGGCAGGTATTATCCAAACAGATAACTTACATTGATTATATAAAACTTATATATAACGTGGAACTGTTTTCTGTTAGAATTATATGGTATTAATCTTTCTAATAAATTTAATAAGAGAAATCAAAGCGGAATACCTAGAAAACGTTATCTTAATGGAATCATTAAATACTGAAAATAACATAGATATTTAGCCTAACACATTAGGCCAACTAAAAAACTTGTTACAACAACATAACATATGAGTAGATAGTGGAGAAGATTTGTAGCTCAGGTGGATGATTTTGATGAAGGTTTGTTCTCTGGGCTCAGAGGACAAACCTATATGAGTAGATAGTTATATTTTATCAAAACCTCTATGCAAAATCTATGTTCTCTTGAAATACATATTCACTAGTTTTCTCTATCCTTAATATAATCTATATGATATAGATTGAAGTTTAAATAGTGCTGAACATTGAGTATCATCATCTGTAAACAATATTCGTCAAACTAAATCATGATCTTTTTTTAAATCTTATTAGTACTTAAATGTTACCGTAGCAACTCAAATTGGAATAAACTAAGCTTCATAACAAAGGAAATCAATTATTAACCATTTAAGACACTTGAAGAAATTCACAAATGTATTAACCAGTTTATTAACAAATCAGGAAACATTGATTTTCCTAATAATAACCATATGATCTGTAGAAATGTGTCTGATAAGGACTCATAAAAATTTAATCCTGAAGGCATGACTAGTAAAATACAACCAAATAGATCGTTTAACAGATATCACTAGTTACAATGAATAAAGATCAATCATCATTACTATCTGGTCAAAGATGGAAGCGTGTTAACTCTGTGATTTAAAACATCTTTATAAATTCTATATCTTAATGAAAATTTTCAATTCAGTAAGGTTTCTTAAGCCTTTTCAAAGTTATATTCATCTCTTTACGTGACAACTCGTTTCCCTAATAGAACAAATCAAATTAAGCAAGTTGTTTAAGAGTCCTCTACTGGTAAATTATTTTTCTTAAATAAAAAACTCATTTGCCGAATCCCATAACCCCCCCCCAAAAAAAAACCCTAGTAAATAAGAAGTACAGTAAAAAACTCAGTAAAAATAAGAAAAATGAAACAAGACAAAACCAATTTACTGACTTATCACATTTTATTTAATTATTTTTCAATAGGAGATGGGAAAATTAAATAAGAGAATTCATATTCATAATCATTACTACTACTCTATTTAAATGGCATATAGTTTACCAAGTTGAATAAATTATTTTTGCTTTTCACTTTTGATATCTATGTAATTCCTCTTTATCATAAAGAGGTTTTGTGGATGAAATCATGAATCAGTTGAAGCAAGACCACATTGGAAAACCTGTTCATTAGTGACATGCTCAATGAGATATTTCTTCGAGTTCTAGTGAGAAGCAGTAATCAGTGGAGTTCAACCAAGTCTGTTAGGAGATATCAACTCACCGATGACATTGGTGAGTGGTTGCTCAACTTCGTGTATTAGTTGAAGTTAGACATTAACACCGTTGGATGCCGACCGGCTCAGTGGTCTATCGATCAAATGCTCACGCGCAAGATTGATAGGTCCTGTGTTGGAATCTCGCGAGTCGTGATCATGGATGTGCACTGTTGAGGAATCTCACAATAGTACGAAACGGCCGTCCAGTACTTCTAAGTTTTCCATGGTGGTCTAGTTTCAATTGATTCATGATTTCAGCTATATTTTCCTCCTATTTTTTAATTTAATTTTTTTCAATGATTATTTTGAATTATATTCTTCACAATTGACTTACTTTGTAGTTTCACAACTTTTCCTCACTTTATACACTAATCTAGTTAAACTTGAATGCTTGTTCACCTTTTGTTGTTGTTGTTGTTGTTTATTAATATTACTGCTATGATGAACATTACAGTTAAGTTTATTCAAATAGAAATCTAAGATATTTGTGCTTTTACTGTCTAGTCAATAACAAAATAAAACAACAAAACAACCAAATTTCTGTTAATGATTTATGACAATGTTTACAATTTATTTACTTTATTATTATGATTAGAAAACAGCAGAAATCCAGGTACCCAAGAGGGGGAACAATAAGAATTGTAGTGATATGATAAAAAAACAATCTACCATAAACAAAAGTGTAAACTATCACACTATAGAGCATAAATTAATTCAATTTCATTAGTTGACATAAATTTATTCATATAAATATAGGTGTAGTATAGATGGTTTGCGTTTATATCCTTGATTGACTGTATTTAGTGAATCTAAGTTATACAGCGTATGTCTGGTTGAAAATCTGATATACATTTTGATTGTGAAGTCGAAGTACATTCACCTTGTAATAATTATCTCGGCCTTTCTATTATTGTATAATTATAAATGTAACTGTCTAATTATATCTGTTCTTTGAAGAACCGACATAGTAACTAGTCATCAGTAAATCTTAAATAACCATATTGTAATCATGGTTACGTTGTTTTATTCTAGTAAGAACATGATGTATTGTGGAACATAAATTAATTTAATTGATTTAACTAAAAATACTACAATAAAGTGGTACAACTGTTTCAAAATAAGTTTTCGAAATGTTTACCAGGCATTTACTCCCTTTCAAGCTATCTTAACAGGAAACAATGAAAAACAAGCATGATGGAAACTGATTAAACACTTGCGTACTACTTCATGAGTATGTAAGCAAATATTTGAAGAGTTATCATTATGCCAAATGTCAGCCAACATCAAAGTCAGTATCTTTTATATAAATGTCAAGATAGTTTTATTGTACGGAACTGAGACTTCGAGAATTAATACAAATAATACCAAACAAGTAAAGGTATTTCTAGCCATTTGTCTACTCAAGATACTCAACGTCCGTTGTCCGGATACCATCAAAAAATGATCTACGGTGGCAGTAAGCAAACCAATTTCCAAGTGAACAGAGAATAAGAGAAAGATGCTGGAAGTGGGTAGGACATATATTACGTAAATCATTAAACCATTATCATGGAATTCTGTAGACAAAAGGAAAAAGTGAAGACATGCGAACACATCGCGTTGGAATTGTAGGCAGATATTGAACGAATGGATAGCAACAGGGAAAAACTGGTAAAGAAAGGCAAGGACAGAGTTGGTTCTGGTCGGTAGCTTATGCCCTCACGAGGCGATAACATACGTACGTAAATAAGTAAGGATTTATCTATTTTCACCCCGTAGGAAACTGTAAAATACGTTGATTAAAATGTCGAATAGTTTACTACACATAAATCTAATTTCCAACTATAGGGCTTGTCCCTCATTTTTACAATTCGTGAGAAGTTATAGTGCAATCAAATCGGCAAAATAGAATGATGAAAAAGGGTCACATAATTTCTCTTAAAATTATTTTATATAAACTTACACAATTCAGTTCTGATTGTATTGTTTTAGGAATCAAACATGTTTCAGTATAACTATTGGGATTTTTAAATCCTAATCCATCAGAATTTGGTATTGTTCTAAGTGGAGATGTAAATCCATAATTAATTGTTTGTTCCCCATTCATCATTGGTCTTTCTTCACAATAATGATTAATCGAACATGGGAATTCAGTTGACATTAATGCTGAACTGCTTTTATCACTATCAGTATGACTAGATCGCATTTTATCTAGTGTTGTATTTAATGCACAAAAATTATAAATCGGTGGTGGACCAAAATTTCCCATTGTATAACCACATTCTGGATTCCATTTGTATAAACTTTCACCATCACCCGGACATATTGTATTTATAATTGGTGAATGGTATAATTTACCATAATTACTAATTGTACCGCCTAAATTAATATTTTCTTCAACAATTAATTCACCATTCAAATGTAACGGATAAGAGTTTTTATCATATTTTAACAATTTTCTACTAGCTTGACGTTGTTGTTGTTGTTGTTGGCGACTTGATCTTCGTCGAATTGAAATGAATACAATAATAAGGCATACTGATGTAAGGCACATAATTAACAATAGAATTATAACTAACATAATACCTAAATGACCATTTGTCAATAAATATCCTAGAAAGCCTTTTTCTCCAAATTTATCAGCAAAAGCTGAATTTAATGATTGATGCGCTTTTAGAAATAAACGTGCATTTGAATCTAAAGGAGGATTTCCATTATCACATACACGTAGATATAATTCGTATATTCCACTATCAGTTAATCCAATGCCTTTTTGACCCGGGCCAGCAATTAATTCACCGGTTTTACTAACTACGACAAAATATGACGAATCCACTGATGATGTGGCGTAAGATTTGGTAGAATGAATTTTATTCTTGTATAAAACTTTATCTTCACTTTGCATATAATCATTCTTAAGAAAATGGACCTTAATCAGTTGAAATGTTAAATTTGCATTATGCGCATCGTCAGCATCTTTAGCTGATAAAATAAGGATTTGTTGTCCTCGATAAATTGGTGCTGTTATATTCATAATTCCCAATTCTGTTACTGTACTTAAACCGATCATATGTGGTCGTTTAAGAAGGTCAGTTTGTTGAGGAGATGAGAATTCAGAAGCTTGTATGATTTGTTCCCACTGTGGAATATTATCATTTTCATCCAATACATTAACAATTACAGATGCCGTTGAACTACGTTGTATAGGTGTTCCAAGGTCATGCAGTAAGATGATTAATTCGTATTGACTATTCTCTTCCCTATCAAGTTTCTTTGTAGCGAATATTTTCCCAGTATCACTATTAATCATAAACAATTCATTAGGGATTCGTTTATTTTTATTATCACTGACTGATATCAACTTATAATGCACTGTTCCATTATTTCCATCATCTTGATCAATTGAAGTGAGTTGGCCAACTAAGTCAGAAAATCCTGGACGATTTTCGACTATTTGGAAAGTTTTACTACCGATAAGTTCTGGACTGTTGTCATTTTTGTCAGTCAGGTGAACAGTAACATTTGCTACAGCTACATGATTGCCTTGTAATGTTTCAGGTGAATATTTGTCAGTGGCATAAACAAGAAATCTAATTTGAGGCATAGTTTCTCTATCTAATAAAGCTTTTGTAATTATCACACCGGTGTCAGGATCTATATGAAAATACGATTGGGCTTCGCTTGATATATGATATTGTATCTCCGGAGTAGAATCTGCATCACTGGCATGGACTTGTAATAAAATAGTATCTATTGGTTGGTTCTCCGGCATAATGTGATTGATAACTCGATTTTCTTGAGTAAACATTGGTCTGTATTCATTTAAATCCATTATATTTAATAAAATTGTTTGTTCGCTTGTTCGACTTGGTCTGCCATTATCTTGACATGTGATAACAATCCTAATAATCCCATCTATCACTGTTTCACGATCAAGTGATTTAGTTGTACTTAAACGGTATATTTCCCGTCCTTTCGCAGAATTAGCGTGTTCAAGTTTAAAATCTTCAGTTTTCGATTTTAAACCACAAGATACTATGCTATTTTCACCAACATCATCATCTCCAGAGATAATTAAACCAATATTTGTTCCAGCTGGTTGATTTTCACTTATTGATAACTGAACTTCTTGATTACTATAGTTGACTTTATTAAGACTATTATCAACTGATGTTTTTTGTAAATTACCCTCTTGTATTGATCGGGTTTCAATCCATGGATCATGATCATTGGTATCTTTAACAGTGATACGAACTATTGTCTGACCAACTAATGGTAATATACCATTATCCTGTACTATAATAGGTAAAATAAATGCACTATTTTCCTTAGCATTTAATAATGCTTTTAAATAAATCTCACCAGTATTACTATCAATTATGAAATGTTCTAAAGATGATTGACTTATAGGTCGACCAAATTTATAAGATAATTTAGCATTTTGATTAGAATCAGCATCCGTTGCATTCAATTGAATGATTATTGAATTCATTGTAATATTTTCTAAAATTTCAATATCATAAACTGATTGATTAAATATTGGCTTATTATCATTTACATCCGTAATATGTACTTGAAATGGTTGATTAAAACATTTCGGAATGATTTGACCACCATCACATGCTATAAGTTCACCAGTATAATTATTCTTCATTTCGGCATCTAATTCACCTAGAATAACAAGATTTAAACTATATGGTGGTCTATATGATAATGAAAATAATGTAGATTGAAAATCATTACCACGTAATGAATAAGATTGAACAGAATTAATACCTTTATCTGGATCTTTAGCAATGATCAATGGTATTTCATAGCCGGAACTGACAGATTCCGATACATTTACAATATATATTAATTTTTCTGATATATTATTATTAGATGAAGTTAATTGAAAATATGGGGTATGATCATTGATATCATGTATAGTAATAATAACATTAATCCAATGAATACGTGATATACATACAGTTAAATGGATTTGACATTCTTTTGTTGAAATATCATTGAATGTATTATCCATCATTATAGATGAAGATAACGATGATGATGATGATGATGATGATGACGCCGACGACGTCGATGATGTCATTAAATATTGATTATTAGTGAATAATTCATTGAATTCTTCTTCTGGTTTTGGACATATAGTTTCACGATCAATACGTGATGCAACAAATAATTTGCCTGTTATTTCATCAATACGAAATAAGTTTTTATTATTATTATCATTATCATTATATAATTCAAATATACCTAAATTAGTATTATCATCATTAATAATAGAAATGAAAAATTTCTTTTCAAAATCTAATTTAATATTACCTATATATGAACCAATTTCAGATTCTTCATTAATAGAATAATATAATTCTTTTAAATGAGATGAATTTAATAAATGACAATTTATATTTAAAATGAATTGGATAGAAATAGTAATTAAATGAAATTGTATATAATACTGATAATAATTAATAAGTAGCATGATTACATAATGATTATAGGTTAAATGATCTGATCTGATCTGATCAATTAGATCGTTCTATTTCAATATAGAGATTAGTAGGTGTTTATATTGATTAAATATTGATAAAGTGAGTTTTTATATTGATTTATAATGTGTATACCTTCTCTTTTTTTCATTATCATCATCAAATAACATGATAAACATTTTAAATTTTTTTTTGTTTTACATTCGTTTCGATGGGGTATTAATAATAGATAAATAATGAAATAGGACTTGGCAATTAAACTTTTAGTATCTATGTACGTATATATATATAAAATAAATAGTAACTATATAGGGAAATATAGATTGAAATGGATATTATTATTATTATTATGGGATAAAGTTAAATCACCTATTATAGGATTGTATGTATGCGATTTTCTGTATATGTATATATATGTATGAAATATGAAGGTGACTAGAAAATAACAAACAATAAGAAAATAAAACAAAAATTGACTAAATAAATAAAAAAAACATTTGAAAAAAGGAAAACAATTTTTATCAGCCAATCGGATGATGACTTTAGCTTATTTGATTTGTTGTAATTATATATATATATTTTTTTTTTCTTTTTCTTTTTTTTACATTTCCTCAGATGGTTGTACCAACACACTAGGTGGTTCAATGGATATCATTGGGAAGATGGATAGATGTTGAGCCTAAATAGACAGATTTTAAAAATAAATAAATAAATAGATAGATAGATAGATAGATAAATGATACATAGATCGATGTACAGACATAATGGTGTTGTTCTCATTTACATTGGGTTTCTCTGTTTTGTATTCCAACAAAGTGAGAAAAATCGGTAAATTAAAAAAAAATTCATCTTTAATCTAGTGTAAATAATAGTAATAATAATAATAATAATAGCCGTTAGATGAGAATACGTGACAAAACAAATGTTTACTCAGTACCACTTTCTATGTATGATGTATGATAGTAGGTAAGCTATTTTAGATTGATCGTAAATAAATATAAAGTTTTCAAGTATTGTGAAATGGATAATTTTTTTACACCATTGAAAACAAATGAAAACATCTAACAGATGATAAAAATCGTTAATTGAAAATAGGTCACAATTGAATGAGTTGATTTCATCCTCAAATTTTTTTTGTAATCATGATATGTTTAGATCAGTGAACTAATCACTAACATTTCCCGTTTCAGTCAGTCAGAGATATCAAATTGTTATTCGATGCTAACAGAGATATCTGCTTTATTATTAATAATGACTTTATTCAATATTATATTTTGGTACAATACAGAATTAGAAAGGGTTTTTTTGGAGATTTTAGTAATTTTATATAGTTGAAATCATCAGTCAATTTAATCTAGACTACCATAAAAAAACCTGAAATTACTGGACGGCCGTTCCATCATCCTCAGCAATGCGCATCCACAATCCCGTCTCCCGAGATTCAAATCCCGGACCTATCAGTCTTGCGCGCGAGCACTTAAACTCTAGACCACTGAGCCGTCCGGCATCCAAAGGTGTTAATGTCTAGCTTCAACCAATCCACGAAGTTGAGCAACCATTCATTGATGTCTTCAGTGAGTTGATATCTCACAACAGACCTGGTTGAACACCATTGGTTACTGCTTCTCACTAGAACTCGAAGAAATACCTCATGGAGCCAGTCACTTGTGAGCATATAAAATTCTCAGCACAAAGTATTTCAACAAACAAAACATAAAAACATGATTACACTCGAACCTAACCACTACTGACAGTAATGTGAAAGCATGAATCTTATTCACTCTAAGATTTATTTTCATTATGCACTATTTATTAATGCTGATTCTAGCACAATAACTATATTTGATCGCATTGCTACTCAATCCAATTTGTTTGAATGTCGAAAATATACTCATAAAAGTTGTGTTCACTATGTGGAAGTAATTACATGTAATAAGTTAACAAATAAAAGTGAACTAAATGTATACTTTAAAAAAATTAAACAGTCAGTTGACGAAGAACCATTGGTTAACTTTGTGATCGAAAAAGCACAACATCGATGATCATCTAATAGTGTGTTGACTTAACTTTTTCTATTAAAAATCAATACTGGTATGAATGTCTCAAAGTGAATTTGTATGGTATAGATACAGAATTTACGATCAAATATATGATTGATAATTACCAGATAAACATTAATTATACGAATCTTACAGAAGTAACACAACCGTTCATTTTCAATAGTTACACCATGTAATATAATATTACAATCTTTCTATTACGTCATTGAGTCGACTGATTATTTATATTTCCTCAAAAAAACTAATGCCTAAAATTCCATATATATATATATATATATATATATATATATATATATATATATATATATATATATATATATGACTGAATGGCTTCATTATGAATTCGTTGAAAAGAGATTGCTTTGTAGAATTTCGTGTATTTAACGTTAGCGTATTATATACATTGGGTGACAAAACATATTGTTATTTTCATTACCAGCAAATATCAAAGGATGACTTATAATCTATATACCTAGGTAATATTGTAGTGAATAGAACACCGGTTGGGGACGGTCGAATGTATTTTAGCACAGTATTACAGACTATCTCACTAAATTCTGATAACTATACAGTCAACAGTTAATTTGCAAAATAACTATCAATTGTCTCAATCTTAACTGTTCCTTCTGCAAATATTAGACTTCTTCTCTGATTTCATTGTTCATGTATTTTCGTACCGATTGCGCTTCATTCCTGTTCTTTCCTTATCGATCTTCTGTCAACATACATTCTATGTCTGGTCATCACCATATACTACTTATATAGATATATGTAGACCACAATACACTCTACTGTTTGATGATTATTAATTGTTCTTGATTTCTACACAGTTTTATGCATACAATATAATTGGATTGTGTTGTATTGTATTGTGTTTCCTGAAGATAATATATTATACAACGAATGCACATTCACAGCAATATAAAAGAATGTTATTAAGTTCTACACAACTAAGAGCTCAACATTGAAATAACTAAAGTACAATGTATTCGAAACACCATGTTGCTAACTTCTGGTTTCGATTGCCGTATTATTTTTTTCTTTACATCATTCAGGTATTATCGATTACTTTGATCATAAAATGGAAGCGCTTATTAAATAATAAGACGAAACGGCTGTACAGTGCTTCCAGGTTTTCCCTGGTGATCTAGCCTCAATCGACTCACGCTTTACAATATGAAAATACTAAATCTTTACAAGCAACCCTCTATTAAATAATCGGTTTTTGTTTTCTCTTATTCCTTTTTCAGCATCTCATTGTTGTAACATGCAACTGTACTTTAAGGTTAGATGTTAATCAATCATAAGCTCAATGTTATTAGTTCATCATCTAGTATTTAGTAATTGGAGAGTTTTAATTTTATTTTTGTTGTTCCCATGGATATATCATATCTCTATTATTGTTAATTCTCATAATTGATTCAATTATTGTATATATTCTTCCGGTCAAATAGTTAAAACAAGGGTTAGATTATAGTTACCATTGTTTCGTTTATTCATTTCTTTTTTCAGAAAAAAAACTGCTTAAATTATCGAAATCAACTATGCTCATTTGTAATATCCTAAGGAGTAGAAAAATTTAATTTTTGATGTTTCATAACTCAGCGTAAGCTACCTCTTCAGAGAATACAAAACCAAATATACTAATTAGTTTATTCATGACAATCTACCCTGATGATTAATTTATTAGTAATTATCAAGTCAAATCTTGGTAATGATATCTATGTATTCATTATTCATTATATTAACAAGATTCTATCTTATTCAAAATCATAAATACTTACTTACTTACTTACGCCTGTTACCTCTCCTGGAGGAGCTGAAGCCACACACCAGTATTATCCATCCAACCCTGTCATGGGCAATCCTTTCCAGTTATTTCCAGTTTTTATTCATTTTTTTCACATCTGCTTCTATTTCCTGACGTAATGTGTTCTTTGGCCTTCCGTTTTTCCGCTTCCCTTCAGGATTCCAAGTTAAGGATTGCCTCGTGATGCAGTTTGGTGATTTCCTCAATGTATATCCTATCCACTTCCAACGTCTTTTCCTAATTTCCTCTTCAGCTGGAAGCTGGTTTGTCCTCTTTCATAAAACGCTGTTGCTGATGGTATCCGGCCAGTAAATATTGAGTATTTTGCGTAAACAACTGTTTATAAATACTTGAACCTTCTGTACGATGAATGTAGTAATTCTCCGAGTTTCAGCTCCATACAGTAGGACTGTCTTAATGTTTGTATTGAAGATTCTCACTTTGAAGTTAGTTGACAGTTGTTTAGAGTTCCATGTGTTCTTCAATGGTAGATTTGATTTGCCAATCTTTGCCTTTACATTTACATTCGATCCTCCTTTTTATCAATAATGCTTTCCAGATACGTGAATTTTTCCACCTCTTCCAGAGTTTCACCATCAACTGTGATTGGTTTTGTTGATGTTCTCCGTGTTGAATTTGAGAATCTTGCTTTTTCCTTTGTGTATGTTGAGGCCTATCAATTCAGAGGCTGTTACTAAATTAGCTGTCTCTGTTGAAAACTTTCCCTGGTACCGACAACAAACTGATGCCTCTGTAATTCTCACATATGCTCAGATCTTCTTTTTTGGCTTCTTGATGAGGTATACCTATTCAAACCATAAATAATGAAACAAAACAAATTTTAAAATGTGGTCAATTAAATATAGAAAAAAAGTTTGTTATTCAAGATCATAAAATAGATGGAAAAATGTTTTGTCTTCCATCTCAATAGATGTGAACATTAATGTTGAGAGAATAAACAACCTTTGAACTTTCAAATATATATTGGATTTACCGAAGAATTCTATTGTGTAACTAATGCTCACCTCAAACTAACATCTATAACAGATGGTTATCTGTGTATAAAATTATACGGATGAATAAACATTTTTTGGTAATTACCAGTCTAACTCAAATAAGACACAAAATATTTAGAGTGATCATTGATCAAATTGAATGTCTGTGTATTTTATGGATGATTCATTTGTATGTAATCACTTTTTTTATGCATAGTGATAGCTAAGAGAACACTTTGCTGCATCTTTGTATTATTATATAAATAAATAAAGCACTCATACAATTCTAGTACAAAGTCTATGTTGATCGACTTGAACTACCATATATTATTAATACGTTTATGGTAGCTCATGAACTTCAAGTTATAAGAAATTAATCAATCAGTACTTAAAGTTATCAACCATGGACGACAAGTGAATACCAAAATAAGAAAACCAAATATGCTGATAAGGAATCCTTGTAGTGTCTGTTGTTATTTCAAGCCCACATAGCTTATTCTAGCTTCCAGACAAATCAATTTATTCATACAAATTTAGTCACATTTCGACATTGTTTATTATCCGCTTTTCAGCATTGACTAC